TGATTCCTGTCATTGTATTTTTTTTTTCTGTTTTTGATTCTTTTATTTTCCCCTTTTGCTTAACTGCTCACTTAGCTTGCTCTATTCATTCCAGTAGGCCTTCTGGTGTTAATGTGTTCATTGTCTCTGTCTAGGATACTGCTGAGCACTTTTGTAGTATTGGTTTTGTAGTCAGGAATTTCTTAAGGTGCTCTTTGCTATGAAAGCATCTTACTATTTCTCCATCAATTTTTAAATATAGTCTTGCAGAACAGATTAATGTGGATTAAAGGTTAATTTCTTCTAACACTTGAAGGACTTCTCTCCATGCTTTCCTTGCCCTTAAGGGTTGTATTGAGAAATCTTCAGTAATTCTAATAGTTTTCCTTTATCAGTGATTTGTTGTTTTTCTTTAGCAGTTTTTCAAATTCTTTCCTTATTCTGAAGATCTGAAATTTAACTGTGATGTGTTATGGGGTAGGTCTTTTCTGATCATGGCTCTTCATGGTCCTATATGTCTCACTCATCTGTATGTTGAATTCTTTCCCCATATTTGAAAATACTCTATAATATTTATAAACATACTTGTATTCCATTTGTACTATCTTTGAATTTCCTTTTAATTGCAGTTAATCATAATTTAGTCTTCTTTGTGTCATCTAGCAACTGTTGGGTCCATTTCCCATGCACTGTTGTTGTTTTTCAATGTCAGGTATCCATAAGTAGGTGGTCACCGGCACTAGCCTTGTCCTCTAGGTCTGACACTTTTATAACAGGGAATTTCACTACTGCAAAGAAATTATAAATGTTTAAAATGATGCAGATATTATTTATCTTGTTTTGAGAACTGCACAATAGCTACATGAATGAAAGCATCACACTGTAGTCATAAATATGTTATTAATGGCAAAAATTTTAACACAGCAAATATTTGAGCAGTCACTTCAAGAAATACAGGCAGCATATAAACACCTGAAAAAGTGCTTAACCTCATTTGTCACTTAGGAAATGGAAGCTAAAGTACAATGACCATGAATGTGCACTTCTAGAAAGGTTATAATTACAATGAGTAAAAAAAATCAGAAGGATGAAAGAAGGTGGAAGCATTAGAATTGTCATATAATTCTGCTGATCATATTTAATAGAAAAACTGTATTGGAAAATGATATAAGCATTTCTGAATCAGGTTGTGACATACCTACATCATTCCCTTCTCTGACACCATTTACTCAAGAGAAATAAATACAGAATGTATTTGTACACAATGTCCACCGCAGTTATATTGTTAATAAGCAAAACTGAAAAAATTCCATTGTCTCTCCACAGTGCAGTGGAAAAGCAAAGCATGGAATGTTCAAACAATGGGAAACTACTCATCAATAAACTATAATGGACTGACAAAAATATGCTCAATAAATGTACAAAGTTACAAAGGAGATGTAAAAAATTTTACAGGTATTACATATGCCATTAGAAGTTTTGGTGATGAACTTTTCTCTCTCTATATATATTTATATACACACCCACACACACATATGGCTAAATATCAAGATTCATATCTATATACAAGTCTTTGTCTACACAAATACACATTTTGGTAATGCAAGGAAAAATACTAAGATGTGAGCATGTACACATATATTTACCTACATACGTAGGCAAAAATATATGAGTTTGAACAGTTTTAATATATGGTTATTGTTTGCTAATTACAACTTAAGAAAGTTTTGAAAATAAAAAATAAAATTTCTCTTTTACCTACAATTATGCACCCTATATTAGTAAATTTATTATGGCATGCATAAGTGAAAGGCAATATATATCATACACATTACATGATATATAATGTAGCATGTAATATTCACAAACAGACTCAAGGTTCCATGAAATATCCATAGTCAGATATCTGAGTTTTTATTTTTAACAAACATGGATTATATTATCACATATATTTAGAGAGGGAATACAGTATATATTTAGTGATATAAAAATCTATACCTGCAAAATTAAACATGGTTTCGATTATTCTTACTTATTATTAGGATAGCGTTAAAGAAAAGTAGAAGCCAGCCACAGAACCAAGATGCTTTGAGGAGTACAAGGTACTTGAGAAGATTGTGACCCAAAATGAAAAAGTGGAGGAAGAAGGTGGCCTGCCGTTGACCTCTCCAGGTTAGAGCTTCAACCAAAGCCAAGATCTGCATCTCTCAGGCTTGCTCCCTAAGGCTTTGCACTGCCCTGTAATCACATGAGATTAAAAATTTTTGATTAATGAGAAGCTTTGGATAATGAAGCCTGAGGGCCACAGAGACTGCACATAGTCTACCTGGAGCCGTGCCGTGACAGCCTTGCCCAGGTCTGCAGGCAGCACACCACTCCTGGGCTCAGTGAGCACCATTTCTCCACTGCAGCCAGGGGCTTCTCTATCTTTCAGATTTCTCTGAGAGCAGAGCTTCCGTTTATCTCCATCTCAGCCAGCCAAGATCTGAATGTCCTTCCTTAGTGTTGGCGCCCAGCTAACCTGAAGTCTGAGGGTTGCCGTTTTGTCAGTAGTTACAGGTACTTATCCATCAGTCTATGCTGGTGCTGGGAGATAAGGATGCGGGGAACATGAGCAGAGCTCAATCGGTTGTGCGGCATCTAATTATCATCTTCAGATGCTTGCTTGTCTTAGGCACAAATATTGAAGCGGTTTGCATTCTGCTTGTGTCTAACTCTGACCTGGGGGTCCAGGAATGCTTCCCACTCCAACAGCAATATTCCAGTGCTCACCTTGAAGGATGTTCTGTAATTCTCTGTCCTTTATTTGGCAAGGTTCAAAGGTATTTGTCTAGCTCTTCTTACTGTTCCCTTCTGTGTCTCATTGTAGAGCAGATCCTTAACTTATACGTTTTCCTGCTCTTGAATATTCCACAAGAAAGCAGCGGGGAGTGTATGGCAGATCCCAAGACTACACACTAGGCTTCATGTTAATCTATGACATACTGAACGCTGAACAGTCAGAATAGCACATAAAGGGAGAACAAATAAACCCTTATCCTTGCATCTAAAATTAGCCAGTGCTGACATTTGGCAAGCAGAGTGTCTCTCTTAAAATAACAAAAATCTACATATTAATAAATCCATGTTTCAAAAAAACCCCATGTATCCATAAACTTAGCATTTATGCTCCACTCCATCCTCCTCTTTTTGCAAAGACAATACTGAAGTTAATTTTATTCAGGTGTTATTGTAAAGTTTTATCCATTGTACGGTGTCACATGTGAGTATATGAACTTGTCTATAAATATATATGTGATGTGCAAATATATATGTGCACATATGCAACATATGTATATATAGGGCAATGAAACTAGATATTAGAATTTGGTAACATCATTAAAATTAACAAAGCAGACAAAAATACAAAAACTAAAAACTAATTTAATGTATTACTTTTGACCGGCCAATGGGAAAATGCTACATATACCATATAATGTTTCAATACTTCAAAGAAGGAGATGGTCTGTCTCATAGGTGGAATCCATAAAAAGTCAGCTTGAAAGTAGACAGGTGAATAGTAGACACTGGGAAGGATGTAGAGGGGAGGATAGAAGACAGGCGCTGGATTTGACCAGTGCACAATGTATGGAGATATGGAAATATTGCACTGAACTCCATTAATGTATAAAATTAATTTGTATTAATTTTTTAAAAAGAAAGCAAGCCAGAACATGGCTTCCAGGAAGAAAAATTCAGTGGAGTGAAACTGCAGAGGAATAATCATTACCAAGTTCAGTGTAGTCAATGGTTCCCTTGGGAAGAGAAAATAGAGTCCTCATATGATTGAGAATATATACAAGTAAAAATGTAGTATTTATATCTAATGTAAAAATGACAATACACTTTAATGACGCAGCATGTATACCCAGGTCTATAATGCCTTTGAAGTGTTTTTTTAATATTTGAAGTATAAGAAATTAAGAATTAATATCGGTGGTGTTTTAAAATTTATTTAAATTTTATCATTTCCATTCCAGGCAAATTACTTTTTTCTCCTACATTTCTCTTATGTGTGCTGTCACATGTATGTTTTTTTATTCTAGTTGCTAGACATTGTGTTGTATGTATGTGAGAATTTATCATGGAGATCATTGATTTGTGCATTTCTCCCGCTTCTCTCTATAGGCAAGATTCTCAGTGAGACTTTCAGTGCATCAGTCCTCCCCTCTAATGTGCAATTTCCTGAGCAAGGAGTTTTTAGGTTGTTGTATTATTCTTTCATCTTTTTACATTTTCTCCCAGTCATCACTTCCCATCCATTATCAACCATGCTTAGTAGCACGATCATCTCCATAGCAGCAAAAAATTACAACAGACATATCATGCTTAATATGAAGTGTCTAAAATATTTTGCCCTCTTATTTCTTTGTTGTTTTTTTTTCTTCTGGTACCAGGAATTGAACTCACAACCTTGCACTTGCCAGGCAGGCACTTTGCCACTGAGCTAAATCCCCAACCCCCTGTCTTCTTATTTCTTATTCTTGCTACATTCTCAGAATAGAGAATGTTGTTGTAACATTTTCTCTACTGTACTGTTTAGGAAACTGAGGTTTCTGTACACAGGTCCAAGCCACTTTTCATTTACAGAGTAAGCACTAGAGCAATTCTGTCTCAGCTGTATTCTTGATTGAAGCTGATATTGTCCATTTAGATTTAACATTGTTTGTGTTTGGTTTTCCTGCTGATTTAAGGTTGGGAGACTTTTCAAGGAAAAAGCCATATTTTTCTCTTTATGTGAGTCCTGCTTGTTGCAATATAGGAAAAGAGTAGCTTTTTGGCAAGTAAAATTTGGTTAATAAGATAGCATAGGAAAGTAGAGGGCAGAAAGAAATGAAGGTGAGGAGGGAGAGGTGAACGGAGGACAGAGGGAAAGAGTAATATTTGCTGCGCTGTAACATATACCTGTAAGAATTTTCTGAAGTAAGGAATCTAATCTCTCTCCCATTACTTGTTTCTTTCTGATCAGTCTCCTCAAAAATATGAAATCAAAAAACCAAACAGGGATAGCAGAATTCTTACTTCTGGGACTCTCAGAAGACCCCCACCTGCAGCCCCTCATCTTTGGGCTGTTCCTGACCATGTACCTGCTCACGGTGCTGGGGAACCTGCTCATCATCCTGGCGATCAGCTCTGACTCCCACCTCCACACCCCCATGTACTTCTTCCTCTCCAACCTGTCCTTCACTGACATCTGTTTCAGCACCAGCACGGTCCCCAAGATGCTGGTGAACATCGAGAGACAGAGCAGAACCATCAGCTACATAGGCTGCCTCACCCAGGTCTACTTTGTCCTGGTTTTTGCAGGGTTGGAAAACTTTCTACTTGCAGCGATGGCCTATGACCGTTTCATAGCCATCTGCAATCCACTTTGGTACACAGTCATCATGAACTCCCTCCTGTGTGTTCTGGTGACTCTATTCTCATTGTTAATTAGCACTGTAGATGCTCTGCTGCACTGCCTGATGGTACTCCGTCTGTCCTTCTGTGCAGACCTAGAAATACCTCACTTCTTCTGTGAACTGGACCAGGTCATCAAGCTTGCTTGTTCTGATACCCTCCTCAACAACATCTTGGTATACACAGTGACTAGCATATTGGGTGGTGTTCCTCTCCTTGGGATCATTATCTCTTACATTAAAATTGCTTCTTCTGTTCTGAGAATGCCATCAACTGAGGGAAAGTACAAAGCTTTTTCTACCTGTGGGTCTCATCTTTCCATTGTTTCTCTGTTCTATGGGACAGCTTTTGGGGTGTACATCAGCTCTGCAGTGACTGACTCATCCAGGAAGACGGCAGTTGCATCAGTGATGTATACAGTGGTTCCTCCAATGATGAACCCTTTTATTTACAGTTTGAGGAACAGAGACATGAAAGAAGCCTTGAAGAAGTTCATCAGGACACCTCACTTTTTGCAACTGTGTCATCTGCTTTGGACTTAGACTTCTAGAAAGAATCAAAGAACAGGGAGAGAAGATGAACCAAAATGGTAGACCCTTCTACCACTAATTCCTTATGAGAAGAGTGTTTCAACTTAGATTTAAAAATTGTCACTGGTATTATATAGTACAGATATTTGCAAAAATTTGTTACATTTCTGAACTTGATTTCTTGGTCAGTTTGCATAGAAATACAACCTGAACAAATGATTCCTGTGGTAGTGGCTGAGGAGGAGGTTGCTTCTCAAGAGAATGTTAGTAGCAGCAGGATAACAAGACAAAGGAAGGAGCTAAGCATGTATTTCATCATTGTTAAAGGACTGAATATTTATATATATATATAGTCTCCCAGAATTTTTCTTATCTGAAGTCCTGCTTTGTAGCCTCTGTGACATCCTAAGAATCATTACCTGAGCTATGACAATGGATTTCCTGACAGGTTCCTGTTCAGCTGAGGTAATTTTCCAGGGAACAGAGCACCCGTTCATTGTCATCAGCAAATGCTGGCAGTAGCCAAGGAGGGGCTCCGCGGTTAATTAAAGTGTTGTTTGTACAGCACTAATGTTACCAGCTACACTTGGCTTCCCATCCATGAACTGGTTCTAAATTTCCTATTCTAGAATTTAATACGATGACTAAATGTTTGAATTCCACCTGTGAGTATGCTGTATTTCAAATATGACAAAAGTGATTCCACTCAAATAAGAAGCTCATCTTCAATAAATTGGAGCTGAGGAGGGGTGCATCCAGGCAGAGCATACTGTGTTCATTAATGTCCGAGTGAGCTATATCCTTGTGCTGTGGCTCCTCCTGGTGAGCAGATAAAGCCTGGATCAAGTGCAGTCATTTTATTCTGATGTGACACCAAGAGAGGGGAAGGTGACTTGGTTTTCCTTGGGTCTTGTTTTAATAAAGTTATTCAGAAACCATCCTTTGACATATCGTAGACCAAAATCAGAACCGCTGCCCATCTGGAATCTAACTCCTGATGAGATGAATGGGATTATCATGAGCAGATTAGACTAATCAACCTGGTGGTTCACAACCCTGACCATGTATTTGAATCAGCAGGAGAGCTTGTTGCAAGTTTCTCTGGTCCAGTTCCTTTGTTCCAGCCCTGAGAGGTCTGCATTTAGCACATGGATTGGGCCATGAATGTGCATTTTTAGTGTGATCTTATGCAACACTAACATGAGTAGTCTCAGGATGGTCTTTTTAATGGTACTGTCTTAGTGTGTAACTTTGACTTGTCTGTTAGCATAATTCCTGCAAAATAGAAAATACTCAATAAAACTTGGTATCATCATATTCCACACCTAACCCTGTTTCTTATTTTATTGCAAATAAAGTCAGAAACAAGAAGAAATATGTTAACATGGAGGAACCTTAAGCTATCAATTGCCTGCATCAGATATCTATTATATATTCTTCATCTGTCAAAAGTTATGTGAAATAATTTTAAAGATCTGTATGACTTGCTTTTTGAGAAAAACACTAAACATTTAAACTACGTTTGTTTCTGTGTGTGTGTGTGTGTGTGTGTGTGTGTGTGTGTGTGTGTTCTGGGAGAAAGAGTGATTCTTTTACTCCCAACTAACTTCAGGTAGGAACAAACATACCTCAGAGCAAATCAGGTTTTAAATATTTTTATTGTCGGTATATTTTTGCAAAACATAATGATTATATTCATCTTGGGGAAGTGGTACATATACACATCAAATTTTTTAAAATATCTTTTTAGTTTTTTAGTACATGTATATAGTACAGAATGTTTCCATTCCTGTGGGAAATTGAATCAAATACGTAACATGTCTTCTATCATTTTTCTATCCTGTTCTCTTCCCTTCTCTCTTCCCCCTTGATCCCCTTTTTTATCGGGGAGACATTTGCATATCAAATCTTGATCAATTTCTCCTTCTCCCTCCTGTCCCTCCCCTCTCCTCCTTTCCTCAGATCTCCTTCCTAGCTTCACTAACTCTACCTCGCATTTTGCGGCCAACATTTAGTAAATATTTATATATTGCAGAAAATACGGAAAATTGTTTCATGGATACATGTGCTTCCATGCAGCACATCTTTATCTTTTTAAAGGTAGAGCTTTAAATTATGTCTGTAAGCTTTCCATGTGTTTATAAATTATGTGAGTCTTGTTTTATGGAAAGGTCTGTAATAGGGCTCAAGATATGGTTCACTGGCAAAGCTTTTGCCTAACATGTGCCAGATATACCACTACTACTCCTACTCCTACTATGATGGTGATGATAGTCTGTAGTAGATCATCCCACCAGGATTGGGAATGGCTCCATTTTTTGAAATTCTGTTATGATTTACAACACACTGCTGTTTTCCCTTACAATATATACAGTATCTTATAACTCTTTGTGGTTTCACAAGATACAAATACCTGTGTGTACTGCTGAACATTGGTAAAGATAAAATGCATGATGGACAGCCATCAATCACTCCTCACTGTTCACTTTTAGTCACTAATCCCCTGGTTTTTGCCACTGGAATGTATATATGTATACATTTAATATGCTAGTTGTATGCATTTTAATATGGTATATCATATTCAGTTATTTATGCCCAAATCTTCTCAACATTATATTGTGATACTCCTAGGTTTATGTCATTTAGCAAGTGTTTGCACTCACTATTCCATCCATTCCTACTGTGGCACTTTGCACAATTTATTTGTTTAGTTGTTTGGTGAGTTGTCTACAACTGGGATTTTACTTTTTAGCTTTGTTGGTTTTCTGAGAAAAGATCTCACTGTGTAGTCCAGGATGGCCCCTAACTCACTATGAATCCAAGATGACCTCAAATGTGATACTCCTGCCTCAGCCTCAGAATGAGATCCCTGGAAATTAAAAGAAATGTGGTAGGAAGAGAATGGTCCATGCCTGCTCTCTCAGGGCCAGGAAATCAGGAAATTGAGCTGGAATTAGAGATGTACAATACCAATATCATTAGTATATTTTTGCAATAGAATATATTTTTTTAAATAATTGTGAACATTGTTATACAGGCTGTTGAGTGCACAGTTGTACACAACTAGGAGTGAAATATTTATTTCTTAGGGAAGAGACATGGGCATATTTACTTAAAACTACCACACAATTTTGCGAAAGCAGTTGAATCAATTTAAGTTCTATCTTGTCAAAATATATTACAATGTCTGCCTTTTCATTTCGGCCGTGGTGATGAGTATGTATCAGTGACATATATTTTTGCTTTAGTTTTTAAAATTAGCTCTTGAGTGATCATCTCTCGCTCAGAATAAGCTGGGATTTTAAGCTGAGGTGAATCACTCCAGCTGTCCTAGGTCAGACTCTGCATCCAAGGATGAGATCCCTGGAAATTAAAAGAAATGTGGTAGGAAGGGAATGGTCCATGTCTGCGCTCTCAGGGCCAGGAAATCAGGAAATCGCTCAGCCCCGAGTTCCACTCTTCCTTGATCTGTGCCCTAAGGACGTGTGGTGCCTTGGTGATAAACGACAGTGCACTTCTGTCTGAGGAGGAGCTCTGCTAATTGAGCCCTCAAGGCCATAGACACTGAGAAGCATTGACCTATGACCACATTCTCAGCAATGCTGCTCGCTTGCATCAGTGTGCAGAGGTGATAACTCACGGCCCAGGTCCATCTGCCCTTTGTGAGGGCGCATTTTCCACCTTCATGTTTCAATACCCGGTGACAACCTGGAGAGTTTGTCACTGTTATCGTCGAGGTATTCTGAAGTTCTTCACAAAATGCTGTAAGAAATTGAAGTTCTTTTGTCTGTCCTTTCCATATTTTCCCCCTTCCCTCCCCTTCCTTCTTTCCTTCCTTCCTTCCTTCCTTCCTTCCTTCCTTCCTTCCTTCCTTCCTTCCTTCCTT